AAATATTTAGCTAAATAAAACTTAACAAACATAGTAAAAACTCTACTTTGTTTTTTAAGCAAATCTTTTATGGCTAAGTTCACAACTAAAAGGCATGAATGAAGTGTAATGTAACTTTCTTATGTATTCTAATTATTCCACAGCTTTTTAAAAACATGTAATAATATTATTTTTTTTTATTACTTTGAATGTGTGATATTTTATATCGAATTTTTTTTACCTAATTCTTTTTATTTTCTTAGGCAGAATAATTTCAATTAAACTTAATTAGCTTATATTTTGGTATTTTAAATATTTTTTGACTCCACAGTATTTTCAAAATTTCAAAATATTTTTCGACATCAACACCTACATTTATTTAAAGATAATTAAATTACTGCACTTACTTGAAAGGATGCGGTAAAAGCTGATACAACTTCGTAGGTGTGCTCCCATGGGTGGCCAGGATCAGGACGGAATGGTGTCACAATATACTGCAAGCCCAAAAGTGGCACAAGTAGCAATGTGGCGCTGTAAAGTGATTAGTATGCAAAATTTGTACTAAAAATTAATTCAACTTGGAATATGTATTATTAATATTAAAGAAAACATTCTTGATATAAATTTTACTAAAAACTTTTAATCTAATTATTGTAATACATATTTGTTTAAGCTATTTGGACCTTAAAGGTATTTAATTTGCATGTTTAAGTCTTAAAATTTCCAGAAATTTAATTTAATTGCTTAGCAAATTATTGCTTGTTGCTACTCATACGCCCCGAGGCACCATTTTTATAACTCAAACCACTGACAATCATGTGCATATGTTAATATGAATGTTGTCGATATGCTTAAAGCGATAATGAAAATGAATTGATGGAAAGAAGATAAAAACTAAAAATTTATGTGCACACTTACCGAAATGCTTGCAGTACAGTACGTGATGGCCCACAGTTTCCTTGAATGCTGGCTGGAGCCTTAAGCTTAAGCATCACTACGCGCACAATATTGCACAGAAAAAGCAAATTGAGGAACATTGAAATGCAAACAGGTACAACGAGAATATTGGTATAATCAGTAGAATTCATCCAGCAGCTGGTGAAAAAATGAAAAAACGAAAGGAAGCATAAGAATGGAATAATGTACAAATCAGTAACAGGAAGGTATTAATAAAAATTCTGAAAGCAGATTTAATATCTTGCATTTTTTATAACAAAAACTAATTAAACTCTCAGCTCAGAAAAATTTCTGATGGTATTTGCATTCAGAAAAGTTTCCTTGGTTAAGCAAAATATCGAACCCAGTTTTTTCGTTACCATTTATATCACATTGGTGTCAAAGTTTTCAATATATGTGTTATAATACTTTTTTTTATATATATACTATATATAAAACTTTCTATGCATAGTTTTGGCAGCATTATTCATACTTACTGCACAACTTCATCACCAATACCGCCAAGTCCACGCGCCAAACTATAAATAAAAATTACAATAGCTGGCGAACCCCAGCCAAATGCAATCAACCATTTCACCAACTTTTTTTCAGATATAAATGCGGATACCAGCACCGTATGCAAATAAAAACCCTCGCAGAGCATCCATGAGTAGTTGGTCAGAAGGAAGTAGTGTAGTATGATGTGCAGTGCAACGCAAGTGGCCTGTAAATGGAAAAGCAGAGACAAATGTGAGTGCAAGCGTTGGAGTCGATTTGCTGAGAACGGATATGAATGACTGTATATTGTTCAACAACAATGGAACGGAGCCAAGCCTCAATTGTTTGTAGGTGACAATGTGTAGGGGTAGCTGGGGAATTGATGAATTGCTAAAAGCACGGCATTTAAGGTTAAGGGTAATAGGAGTACTAACATTTGTTTAAATCAAAATAAACGATTGTATGAAGCAGGAATGATGAGTGACTTATTTTGTATGAAGGATAGAATTTGCTTTATTTAATATCAAAATAGTTGGATAAATGATTAATTTTACTATTTATGAGTGAATTCATTAGATTTGAAAATTGACTTACGGGACTCTGATGTAGTAGTTCTGTATCTGGTATTATCACTAAATACCATACCAACCATAGTGAGTTGTTAGCTGCAAAGGAAGTGAATAGATTCATGTGCAGTGTTATACGTGCGCATTTCAAGGATCTGGAAGTAAGTTAATAATTTATTTAGATTTTAATAAACATTATAAACGAAAATGTAAATTAAAATAAAATAAAAATAATTTAAGCTGTAAAATATACAAAAAAAAAATATTTTAATATTATTGTATTAAAAATACATATATCTAATTTATTTTGGTTTCAACTATTTTTATTATTTATTTTATCTTTATTTTTTATTTTAAAACACATATCTACATATATTTGTACACAGCTATAAATTTTGACCCTATTCCACCAATTTTGATGAATTTTTATTTGATTATGACTTCGACGAGATTGGAAGGTTGAAAATTGCATTTGAACATGATAGATTGCAGTATTAGAAGAACAAACAGTTCATGATAATTTTAGAGTTAAAAAAATTATTCTACAAACTTTGATGAATTTTAGTTTGAATATTGTTTAGACGAGAGTGGTAAATTATGGATTGTACTTGAACCTGATATATTACAGTATTAAGAAAATTGTTTTTATGATAAGTTAAGAAATAAAAAATTAAATTTATTAAAGAAGTTGGAATGGAAGCAGATCGAGAAAAAAGACACACTCACAGAAAAGCAA